TGACGTTGCCTATATCAAGGTCGTAGTTGATGTGTTTGCGGTTGCTGATTCTGGCCATGTTATAGGCATAGATGTAGCTATGGTGTGGTTAGCTTTGGTTTCAAAAGAGGTAATTTGTAGAACGAGTCTTACAAGCCGCTTAGAAATTCCCTCATGTCATCTTTCAGGGCATTAACTCCACCGCGGGCCACTATGAGCTCTTGCAGGGCGTTCAGATGCGCAGTCCACTGCTGAACGCTTCCGCGTACGATTTCGTACTTGCAAAGCATGGCTACCGCCAGGATTGCCTCGTCGGGAAGGGTCCGCGCTGAATATTTGGCAATTGTCGACTGCAGTCCACTCAGCGTTTGAACGTAGTAGTCTGTTGCGGCTGTCTGAGCCTCCTGTTTGTCCCGGGACCGATTTGCAAAATGTGTTGCAGATACCGCACACAAAGCTTTCATCAGAAGAGGCGATGATAGGGCTCGGGGTATGAGAAACGATCGAAGGGGGTTGTCGATACTCTCAAGGTTGGCTAGTAGCTTGGAGCCCAGCTCGGTGTGATACTGGAGATAGTGCGTATCGTGATGCGAAAGATGACTGAAGTACCTACTCGGCATGGGTGAAGCCACGGTGAGTGTATAGCAGGAGTCAATGTCAGGTACGGTAACCTGTTTGTCTCCATATTCGTTGTCTTCATTGTTCCAAGAGTATAGACTGCTGTTGGGGGATTCAGCCGGAGTTGTTGGCGCTGTTGATAGACTGATCGAGACTGGGGAGCTCGGGGACAACCAGAGCTCTTCTTCCGGGACACGCGAACAAGTTGTTGAAGCTGATGTTTTACTAACTCTGCGCCGTTTCGGTGCTCTGAATCGGCTGAAGACATTTGCTGATGGATCTAGAGGTTCTGTCCACATTGAGCCATAGCCCTCACATTTCAAGCCCAACCTGGCACAGCTATGACAGCTATTGTAATCGAGCAGTTAGTGCCTAGTATAGTCTAGTACCAGGGGTGGACTCCATCATACCAGGGCTTCGCTTCATCACACCGCTTCCGACGACGCTTGCATGTCAAGCAGCCAGACCGTGTCCACTTGGCGCCTTCTCGTCTGCATCTCCGCCTCGTCGGGGTCTGAGTGGAAGGCCGTTGCACCATGGTCGCAGTATTGGATACTGTCATGATTTAGGAGCAGGTTTGTAATAGATAATGGATATTCAGGCTATCTAGGCTTATGGAAATCAATGCTGTTGGTTTGTTCTCTCGATGCGTGGGACTACTACTAGTATGGAGTAGTCTGGTTCGGTCGTGGATGTATATTTCCGCGTCGGTAACTTGCATCAACCGGATACTAAGCAGATGGAGAAAAGCCGGCAGCTAATGGATCTGTCAGAAAACCAGCCGGTTGACCGTTAGTTCGAGTCACCAAACAAGTGTACCTTGCTTGAAGCAGACCAGATAAGAATAGTTGAGAGGACAGAAAGAGAGACGAAGGATGAGCCTCCAAGAAGGGCTGGGGAAAGTCGGCACTAAACCAAAAGAGGAAGGAGATACGCTGAGATTTGGCAGCCTTTATCGGAGATGGAGAAGATTCCCCCGCTTTTCGATATTCCTTTGCTGAAGATCTCCGGGTGAGTGATTGAGAATAGCAGGATAACAAATGATCGAGTATGACATTCGAGGACTGACAATTGCACTTGTTTATCTAGCAAGCATGTGGCTACAGAGATAAGGAAAAGACAGCCGTTATCGGCGGGAAGGGGGGAGTTTATCGTCAAGTCCGATCTGCTGGATGCCACTATACGGAACAAGTATGTTGATGGGATGAATGTGCCATATTACGTCTCTCGGCAAACGAGCGCCTTTTGCATCGCTTATCCTCGCGTTCCTCGGACCCCGAAACGGAGGAGGGAGAGACCGCAAGGGGAATTCTATGACCAATGCACGGCGGCTATCAGGCTGTCAATCCATGGCAGATTAACAAATCGTCGAGATCTTGAAGCCGCAGTCCCAGACTTACCGCCGCCCCACTTGTCCCAATTAGGCATGTCCATCCAGACCGTGGAGATCCTTGGGTCTCTTGCGGCTTCACCTTCTCCATGAGCTTCCCTTCTTTGCCTTTGTGCTGGGTCCCTCGCCGAAAGGGAGATGTGCTCAATGGACTACATATATCTCGGTTTGCCCCCGGGCAATGGACATTTGCTGTTCAATCTCATCCTTCTTGATATGACCTGATTCCCCAAGGACTTTGTCCCAGTTTATCTTTCATCATTTCCCTAATCGCATCATCCCTCCCATCAAGCACACACACGCGCCTTCTGAACATGTCAATTGCAGCTCAGGGGCCCAGCGTGGCCACTTCGGCCAGCCCTCACCCTTTTGATCCCGTCCGGCCTCAAGAAATCCGCTTGGCTGTCCGCATCCTGGAAGCTGCCTTCCCAGGTGTCAAGCTGCGCTACAATCGTATTGATATCCACGAGCCCATCAAGAAGGATGTCGTCCCATACATCGAGGCTGAGAGGTTAAGGAAACCCCTTCCTCCGAAGCCCGCGCGTCTTCTCTACTCTTACTTCTATCGCCTTGATACCGGCGCATGGTGCAAGGCGTTGATGAACGCGGACACCGCATCCGTCGTATACGTCAAGGAATTACCAGAGGGAGTCCAGGTGTGTACAATTTGATTTGACTATGAAGTTCTTGCGCTAACAGTTGGCCTCAGCCTCCTGTGGATATTGATGAATTGGCCGTTATCGAAGAAGTTTGCATGAAGCACCCCGCAGTGCAGGCGGAAATTGCAAAGCTCCAGCTACCCCCCGGCATGACTGTCTGCAATGACCCGTGGATGTACGGCACTGAGAGTTTGACCGAGTCGAGGCGCATGTTCCAGTGCTTCATGTACATGGTGGAAGTGGACCACCCTGAAAACAACCACTATTCCTTGCCTTGCAAGTTCTCCCCGGTGTTCGATGCCTTTACACATGAGTTGATCCGCATGGATTATCTGCCGGGTGGCTCGGATGCACAGACCGTTGAGACTCAGCCCTGGAAGCCCGTCAAGGCAGTCCAATACGCCCATGACCTGCAGGATGAGCCTATCCGGACAGACCTCAAGCCCTACATTGTGCAGCAACCCGAAGGTCCCTCTTTCTCGGTGGATGGCAACTTTGTCTACTGGCAGAAGTGGCGCTTCAGAGTTGGCTTCAACAACCGGGAGGGCATGGTTCTTTACAACGTCACCTATGATAACCGCAGCGTCTTCTACCGCCTTGCGGTATCAGAAATGACCGTCCCTTACGGAGGTAGGCAGAACCGGACATCTTTTATGTAAAAGATATGCTAATATGGATGATAGACCCTCGCGCTCCCTACCACCGCAAGCAAGCTTTCGACGTTGGCGATGTCGGTTTTGGTCTCAACGCCAACCAGCTAACGCTGGGTTGCGACTGCCTGGGTCATATCAAGTACTTCGACGGCTACCGGGCTGACTGCAAGGGAAACCCGGTCCTGCTGAAGAACATCATTTGCATGCACGAGCAGGACAATGGCCTGCAACACAAGCACACCAACTACAGATCCGGCGCTGCTACCGTGGTCCGCAACCGCCAGCTTGTCCTGCAGATGATCTGCACCGTCGCTAACTACGAGTACATCTTTGCCTACATCTTCGACCAGGCCGCCAACATTGAACTGGAAGTGCGCGCAACCGGAATTCTTTCGACGGTGCCTTTTGATAACACCAATGGCGAGACTGTCAAGTGGGGTACCAACGTTGGTCCGGGCGTGATGGCCCCTTATCACCAGCACATGTTCTCTTTCCGCATCGACCCGGCCCTGGATGGCCACAAGAACACTGTTTACTATGAGGAGAGTGTACCTCTTCCCGAAGATGAGAAGAACCCTTGGCTAGTAGGCTACACCACTGAGCAGACTGTCATGGACAAGGCAGGCTCAGCCGACCTTGACATCAACCGCAACCGGGTCTTCAAGATTCGCAACGACAACGTCATCAACCCCATCACCTACAAGCCCATTTCCTACAAGCTCCACCCGGCACCTAGCCAAATGCTCCTCCAGAGCAAGAGAGCCATTGGCTACGGCCGTGCCGAATTCGCCACCAAGCCCATCTGGGTGACCAGATACCAAGACGATGAATTGTATGCCGCAGGCGAGTTCACCAACCAGAGCCGACGCGCTGTTGGCGTCGAGACCTGGTCCAAGCGAAATGACCCTACTGAGGACGAAGACGTGGTTCTCTGGCACAGTAAGTCCTACCACTCCCTACCCCCTTTGTTGTACATGTACAGAGATCAAGGATGATTCAGCTAACACGCTCATTCTAGCATTCGGCCTCACCCACAACCCCCGCGTCGAAGACTTCCCCGTCATGCCCATGGAACGCATCAGCGTGATGCTGCGTCCCGACGGCTTCTTCACGAAGAACCCGGCCGTGGATGTTCCTCAGTCGTCGCAGAACTTCAACAAGTCTACTCTCCACCCGGAACCTGCTGCGGCAGTCCCCTCCTGCTGCAGTGGATCCAGCAAGGCCAAGCTGTATAAGCGCATGGATTAGAGAAAGAGGAGTACATTTGTTTAGAATTCCGCGATGCATCTGGGATAGGGGAGGTGTATGATTTACGATACATAGCACGTTGCTGGCGTTTGAGGGAAAGTATCACTATTACTTTGTATATACCATGAATTAGATGGATTCAAACTTCATACTTCAGCATTCATTTTGAGCATTCAATCAACATTAAGAGCATGATATCAGTAATATATCCATCGGAAATTGTTCGCCAAACCAGCCTACCTCGGGCCCGATCCATACCTGTCTGTTACTGGCCACCGCATCGGTCCTTAGCAGACAATCCGGGCCCGAAGCAGAATCCAGCTTTACGATTGGCTGATACACATCATCCATACAAGTATATATCACAACATATAACGACAATAGCATCATACACAATTCCCAACCCTAAACATCAACAAACAATTGCAGCAAAGCCAAAGCACCAAACAAAAAATGACCGAACCTGACAAGCACGACCTCGAAGCATCACCCAACTCCACCAAGTCCTCACCCCTCAAAGACAAATCCATTCCCCCCAACCTCATAACCTGGACCACCCCCACCGACCCCTCCAACCCCCAAAACTGGCCCAAAAGCCTCAAATGGAAAAACACATTATCCATCTCCCTCTTCGTCTTCATCTCGCCCATCTCCTCCTCAATGATCGCCCCAGCAATGAACGACCTCGCGCAGTCGTTGAACATGATACACTCCGAATTCGAGACATATCTGTCCCTGAGTATATTTATCTTGGGGTATGCTATTGGACCCGTGTTCTTTGGGCCTGCGTCGGAGGTGTATGGACGGGTGAGGATCTTGCAGGTGAGTAATTTGTGGTATTTGGGGTGGAATTTGGGGTGTGGGTTTGCGAGAAATAAGGGGGTTTTGTTTGTTTGTAGGTTCCTTGCTGGGGTGGGGGGGAGTGCGCCGTTGGCTGTTGGGGGTGGGGCTATTAGGTTAGTCTTTTATTTCTTTTGGGATGGGGGAGGGGGGGCTTGTTGAGTTTGGTGTTGTTTATGGTCTGTGGAAGGGTTCGAGATGAGCTGATTTCTGAGGACAGTGATATGTGGGCTGCGGAAGAACGGGGAAAAGCTATGGGAGTGTATACTCTCGGACCATTACTGGGCCCCGTGGTGGGACCGATAGCCGGAGGATTTATCGCCGAGTATTCGACCTGGCGGTGGGTGTTTTGGGCTACGTCTGCTGCTGCTGTCGCGGTGCAGATTGTTGGGGTGTTCTGGTTGAGGGAGTGTCATCCGGGGACGATTCTACGGCGGAGACGAGATGCTCTTGCCAAGGAGACAGGAAACCAGGAGCTTCATACCGCGGAGAAAGATGAGAGTCTAGGGTATAAGCTTCTTCATGCGTTTGAGCGGCCGGTGCGGATGTTCACGACTCAGCCGATTGTCTTCTGTATGGCGCTTTATATCGCGTATGTCTTTGGTGTGACGTATTTGATGTTTGCGACTTTCCCGGATATTTGGACGGAGGTATATCATGAGAGCTCTGGGATTGGGGGCCTCAATTATCTGTCGATCGCGATTGGGTCGTTCATTGGGCTGTTTTTGAACCTCAAGCTTGTGGACCGGCTCTATCGTGCTCTTAAAGCTCGGAATAATGATGTTGGCAAACCTGAGTTTCGAATGCCGTCGTTGGCTGTCGGGTCGGTGATCAGCATCATTGGGCTTTTCTGGTATGGTTGGAGCATTGGACATACTCATTGGATTATGCCGAATATCGGTGCGCTGATCTATACCATGGGCACGATCTCCTGCTTGCAGGGCATGCAGACGTATATTGTGGACAGTTATCAGACCTACGCGGCTAGTGCTTTGGCTGCCTGTGCTGTGCTGAGGAGTTTGTGCGGCTTTGGATTCCCGCTGTTTGCTCCTTATATGTATAATGCCCTGGGGTATGGTTGGGGTACCAGTGTGTTGGCGTTCACGGCTATGGTATTCGGATTGGGTGGGCCGTTTGTTTTCTGGAGATTCGGGCCCCGGTTGCGTGCCATGTCTGACTATGCCTCTGGTTGATGAGTGTTTGGTGGCATGTGAGGTGGAATTGATGTCCGCTTGGGTTGGATTGCCAGGCGGAAGTTGTCGTTGGATGGATGTGTGGTATAGTATATGTATCATAGATGATTGTCTTAGAGACTCCCCTCATGAATGCGTGATCGCTCTTATATAGTTCGTTGATGATCCGTCCTATGAATGATTGACTCTCATTGAGATAGAAAGGCCCATAGAACTGGATATTCGTAGAATTTGTGGTTAAGTGAGCACGCAAATGACTGCCTGCACTCCGAGGTGATCTTCAATCGATGACCGTACGCACCCCCAACTGGCCGTTCCAGCGTTGGGCGGGCAGGGTAGCGGCACGATGAGATGATGTGGTCATAGAGCTCATAGGTCATGATATTTCTTGCATAAGTTACAGATGCATAATCTCAGGGCCTGCACTCACTAAGAATGGAGCCGTAGATAGTATATATATAGACGTATAGTGAAGGGTGTCTTTGCTCTCAGCCCAGACTGGGTTCTCCACACATTTGGTCCCAGAATAGCCAATCGGCGGACGAGTCGAGATTGAAGGCATTTGGGTCGGCCCTGCTCATATCGTCGAAAAGCTCGTCGAAAGAAAAAGTTTCATCTGTAGCTTGGTCGGCAGCGAATACGCTGCTATCCCGCTGATCGATGCCTTTGGGTTTGTGTTGAGCGCGCAGCGTAGTAATGAAACCCGGCTCGGGAGATGGATTACGCGGCGGATTTAGTAGCCAGGCCTTCAAAGCGGCCTTACCAATGGTAGCATACAAGGTCCTTCGGCCCTGACTCAGTGCTTCGTAATCCGCGTAGACCTCTGAAACCCTATTCCAGGCAGCATTGAGCTCCGATGGTGAATAAAACCCAACCTTTGCAATGCTTCTCAGAATGCAAAGGAGGGAATCCCACACGAAAAACGCTTGCAGCTGCCAGCGAAACTTCTGGGTTGCGGGATTACTATACATGGCATTTCTGGTGTCGAGCACCTTTTCAGCAAGCCTGCAGAGTTGTCTCTGCTGTGTGTCGGTTATGGTTTCTTGCTTGAGCAACGGCATCCTCGCGCGTAACCGGACAGCACTGATGGCGGATCGCATAACGCCGGTAGTCAGAAAGTGCAAAGGGCTCAAGATGTCGCAGTACCGTAAGAACTTCTTCTCGATGAGGTCTTCGACCTCGTCGATCAGTCGCTCGATCTCCTCTGGGGTGCGGAACTCGATTGTTCCCCCGCTTCCTTTCTGCTGGACCCCGGTTCGAGTGTAGAAATTTGACAGCTCCATCCGGGCCAAGCAAAAGATCATCTCCGATGCCCCTCGTTGATCATGAGGCGGCTCGGTCATGCCGGGGAAGATCTGATCATCGTTAATGTTTAGCGGTAGCTTAGTATCCCAGCTGCCGGGTGAGATGGATATACCCGTGCCGGAGGTTTGACCTGCGTAGCTGTCCAGGGGTAGCAGTTGCCAGAAGAGCCGCCGGCGCATCTGGACCTCAAATGGGGTTAAACCGATGCTCTCGCCGTCTCGGTGCAGTCCTATGCGTTGGGCCAGGCGGATTCCAATCCCAGTCAAAATCCAGAAGGTATGGGAATCGATTTGAGTGCGCAAGGAAATAAGAAAGAGAGTGTAGGCCTGTAAAACCGACAACGAGGTTGTCTTGAGCCAAGACGCATTTACCAATGCCTGAGTGACTGCAGTCCGATATTTGTGCATCAAGTGGGCTCTGGAACCATGGAGTCCACGTGAACACTCGTCGTCAGACATTGAGAACACGGCAAAATGATAGATGGCAAACAGCAAGCATTCATCGTTCTTGGAGGCAGTCGCTGGGTGCTTGGAGACGCCGTCAACTATCTTAGCGACTGTCGGAACATGAAGGATCTTGCAAAGAGGCTCGACGTTTTCCACGTAGGCATACCAGAGCTGGGCCGCATGCTCGTAGCTAGGATGAAGGTGGGTGAGGCTTATCGTGCTTCTCATACTGGCGTCCGAGATGGATTGCGCCGCGAGGGCACCAAGAAGACCAGTTGGAGTGGCTTTGTCGGGACCAAGCTCATCTTCAATATGAATTTGTTGCTCGGACTCGGACAACTCACCTAGATCACCTTCGCCAGCGTCGAGGAGCAGAACATCGTCAATGTAGCGAGAATTGCCGTAGTTGGGATGCAATTTATCCGCTGCAGCGTCAGCCTGCGAGTTCGCTGTCCCCGGAGTCGGTGCCTGTATACTATTTGCTGAGGCCTCCAAGTCTCTTCCGCTAGTAATCGAGGGAGTGGCTATTGGAAGAAGATTGTGGTCGTGCAAGATGCGCTCGTAACGTGCCAGACGTTCATGTACATCTTCCTCGCCCCGGCTACGTTTCCTCTTGCGCCGTGGCGGTGGTGGCTGATAGAGACACTCGAGCCTGGCCTTGATGCAGTTGGCACACTTGGGCACCGCGCGGTTGCACTTGATCTTCTTGCGCACACAGGCCTGGCAGTTGAAGCGGACCGGGGTTTCAGAGCAGTCATTTTGCGCATCAAAGGGGCGGTTCCTTGCGGGAGCGCAAGCAAGTGGGACAAGATTCTCCATAATGGAAAATCGATGTTTTCGCTCTTGTCGGTTTCTTTAGTAACTTGCGTCTGTGTTGCGCAATTTAAGGAGGCACCTCCCCTGTCACTCCTCCGCATAAAGGATGTTCCGCCCACGAATCGACTAACCATCATAGTAGATGCTACACACCTACTACTAGGTATTTTTCGTTATTACATGATTTCATTCTGGATGCTATTGATTACATACAGTCCTCCCCTAGAAAGAGGAAAGAAGTAGTATATAGGTCAGAAACATTGTACATAAAAGTAATGTGTCGTTCATTTCCATTTCCATATGAGAAAAGAAATCCCACTCCTCTCATTCAGGCATACCTTAGATAGGTAAAAATTGAGACATCGTTGTCATCCTCTGTTCACTTCCACTGTCCAGATTTTCCAGTTCGTTCACTGGAATCGATGTTTTAGAAAGAGCAACAGCCTTCTAGATGGACGATAAATCAGTGCTAGAGGCTGTCGGCTATGTCAAGACGCCTATTCGACCGGCAAATTGCCGTAAGGGTACATTTAAGCCTTGTTAGGAACGTGAGCCTTGGGGACAGCACCGGTGCCGGCACGGGTGATGGCGGCCTCACGGGCACCGCTGAGACCATACTGGCTGGGGATACCCTCAACACGGTGGGTGGAGTTGATGTTCTTAACGAGGGTAAGCTGCCAGCAGGTAGCACCACCCTGGCGGGAGGTGATGGTGGAGTAAGCCAAGAAGTATTCCCAGATCTGAAGGTAGTTACATGTCAGTATCGTCGTGTCTTATACACTAAACGGGAATTTGGAACTCACTCTGAACCATCTCTTGCCGTACTTGGCCTCAACCTTGTCACGGTTGCCCATCCAGTTCCGGTACCAGCGCCAGAGAGTAGCAGAGTAGTGAACACCAACAGTGTCAATGCCCTTGATTTCGAATCCAGCAGCCTCCAGTCTGTCAACGACGAAGCCAAGGGGAGTGCTAGCGTCAGCGCCAGGGAAGATGTATTTGTTCATGAAAAGACCCCAGATGAGATCCTCGTACTGCCAAGACTTGCGCAGACCAGCGATCTGCAGGAAGAAGACACCATCGTCGTCCAGCATGTCGTAGACCTGAGAGAGGAAGGAAGTGAAGTGACGGACACCGACGTGCTCGGCCATCTCGAGGCAAGTGATCTTCTTGTAACCGCCATCCACCCGGGGAGCGTCACGGTAGTCAAGGCACAGGATACGGCTCTGAGACTCATCAACACCGGCATTGCGGAGACCCTTGTTACCCCAAGCGGTCTGATTGCGACCCAAGGTGATACCAGTGACCTGAGCGCCATAGTGAACCGAAGCATACTTGGCCAGAGTACCCCAGCCACAACCGAGATCAAGGACAGTGTCACCGGGCTTAACGCCAATCTTTTCGCAAACCACAGCCAGCTTGTTGTCCTGCAGTTCCTCCAGAGTCTCTTCCTTGTTGGGGTCACTGATGATACCGGAAGTGTAGATCATACGGGGGCCCAAGAACCAAGCGTAGAAGTCGTCACCGCGGTCGTAGTGGTCACGAACCTGCTCCTCATCTAACCAAAGTAGCTCAAAGTCAGCGCGAAAACCCCACCACCGTGCCAAATGCCATAAGAAAACACGTACCTTGGGAGCGGGTGTGCATCAGCATCTCAGGGATGAAACCGAAGAGGAAGTGCTTGTAGAGACCCATGGTGAAGCGGAAGTTGGCCCAGTCGTGTCTGAACTCCAGAGCCTCCAGGGCATCACACTTGAAGTCCACCTCGCCATTGAAGTACTTCTCGTAGAAGACCTCCATGGGAATCTTGCTCTTGCCACGGTAGGCAGTACGATCATGCTCGCTGTGGAAGTTCAGGTAGTACTCGACGGGGCGACCAGCATACTTGGCCTTTTCGTTCTTGCGGGGAGAGATGGAAGAGGCGATGGACCAGAAGCCCATCAGGATGGGGACGGTGGTGAAGATGGCGAAGAAGATGGTGGTGTAGAAACCACCACCGATCTGGCGGGCGAGGTACCATGGGACAAGGATGAGGAGAGCGAAGAGGAGGGTGTTGGAGAAGCTATCGCTACCCTGAGAATCCGCGGGGACGGGGGCATTTTTGATGGCCGGATACTAGTAAAAACAGGAGAAGATTAGCTTACTGACATTGCGAATTGAATTGACCATTCCTGTTCAGAAAAGTATGTGTCAAGAGCCCTAGAGGAGCTCTTCAGGAGCTGTTCATGTGCTACAACTAACTCACCGAGGTAGTCCGCACACCGCAATCATCGGCGGGAGTCGTGCAGGAGGCGGGTGGAGTTTCAATGAACTCGAAGTCCTCTGGGGACTCGGGATGAATATTCGTCATGGCGGAGGAGACGAATTGTCGAGAGGGAGAGGGGGAGGGAGAGGGAGGAGGAGAGGTGGGAGGAGAAAGAGAAGGGGAAGAGGAGA